AAATGTTGCACATATATGTCGTGGGACCCACAAAGTGGGAGAACTTTGACCTTAATAGTAAGAGGTTTCATTAAAGTCAGTAGTAAATGATTTAAAAAACATCAAGTTGACTCACGTGGGATCATATCACGCCGGCTAATATGAACAAATTTCTCATCCTTTTTCCTCTGGAAGAGAAAATTAAAGCGTTTTGGCAATGCGGGGAACTAAACCACAAAAGCAGCCTTGAACAGTCATTGTCAAGAAACATCGATTATGTGTTCTGGGACCCACAAAGTTACTTTTATTTTATTTTATTTTTTACTTTTAATTGTTAGCAAGATTCGCTAAAATTAATGTTGAAATTAAATCTTATTTTGCATAGAATCTAAATGCTCCTATTTACACATTTATATAATTGCCAATTGCCAAGCCTTTCATGCTATCCCACGTTCATATCCAAAAAAACACGTCTCAGTTCCACTCTCAAAATGATGGAGCTCTTTTCCAAGCCATTAACTTCCACTGACACACGCAAAAGGTTAGCCATACCCACCAGGAGTCTGACCTCCTTGTTACACAACAGAGGAGGCAACGCCGTTGAGTTGCACGTCCGGCATGGGACCGCCGTGTGGCCAATTATGTGCACAACTCGCAAAAAGGGGTATAAAAAGCCTGTCCTTTCCCAAGGGTGGAGATCCTTTGCTGTTAAAAACAAATTAAACGTGGGTGACATTGTAACCCTTTTTAAGGAGGAAGATGAAGCAGGGTATTTGAACTACAGAATTGAGGTGTTGAGAGCAAATGATCAATCTCTTAAGCATTCCGGTGCCAACGTTGGAAATTCCCCAGCCGGTAACTCCGGAGAAGCAACTTGCATACCATATTGCAAGTATGAAGACAGCGAAGTCAAGCGATTTGGTGTTACAGATGAGAAAGTAGAGAAGTGCTCTTTCAAGCTATTTGGGGTTCGTGTTGTTGAGACTGGGCCACTGGTGAAGCACTCGAATGAATCTATTGCCGGAGAAGCAGATATTGGCCCTAAGGAGGAGAGAGAATACCACAGGTGTTCTAAAAGGCTCGATCTAGATTTGAATGTGGCGCTATACCCATAGTGAATGGCCTAAGGTAACTCCTACAGCCCATATATGCTCATACCCATATCAAAAACTATCATCACCTTAACAATATTTGTGAGTCACAGGGAAGTTGACACGTTGGGTCTAAACATGTTGCCAATGAGACGCAAAGTTTATTAAGATTGAGTTTAGAATGATTGTAATTCTTTTCTCTTTTCTTTTTTTTTTTTTCCCTTTTTGGGATTTTGGGTCATATGATGGGAGGTCATCCTATTTGATGTCTTAAAATACTCTACCTATATATTATGATATTTGAATTCAAAATCTCTTAATTTTATTGAAAGAAAATTATTATTGAAAGAAAATTATTATTGAGTTATTTAAATTATTGATAATATAATTGTGATTTTTAATTTTTATAAATTTTGTAACTTTAAACAAAATAATTCATTTATTTTTATGTGTTTTTGCAATATATTACTCCTATTCAACTTTAGTAATTCT